AGAGTCACACTTTTTCAAGGACTCATGACTTATCAGAATGATAATGCACTGATGACACATGGAGGCCCCTGGGCCCTGGAGAGAAGCCAGAGAAGAACAACTGGGGACACAGTAGAGGTTGGTGGGGTTTGGGGGCTCAAGGACCTCAGAAAGCTCATTCCAGCCCTGTTCAGATTGTAGAGGGTGAGGGGATGGAGACAAAGGAGGCCCAGGAGGTGTTGGAAACAGCAATGTTCCCAACCTGGCCTCCATTCCCTGCTTTCCTCTCTGTCTCTCTCTCACCCTCTGAAAGCACTCACCTTGGCAATGGAGCTGGGAAAGGTGAAGCTGGCTGTTCTATTGTCCCAGCCTCTGCCTCTCTGGCCCTCACCCAAAGCCAGTCCGGCCCAGAGATGGAGGGAGGGGGCCACTCCTTAGGAGCAGATGTACAGAATTCTGAGATGGGCAGGTTCACATAAACACGCCTTAGAGCACAAAAACTGGAAAGCTGTCCCTTGGAGGTGGAGTCGGTCAAGGCTAACTGGCCTCAGGGATCTTTAATAATGGATTTCGGCCCAGGTGAGTTGTCACTGGGGAAAGGAGAGTCGAGTCCAGAAGCTTGCAGAGCATCTATGCTGGAGGGACCTGGATTACAAAAGCAGGGACTCTTCTCATTGGTCAGAAAAGATAAGTGATACCCCCTCCTAAAGGTTTCATAAAACCTTCTGGCAGACCTGGGCTTGCAACACAAACGGGGTCATTCCACTGGAAAGTTCCTCCACCCCACTGCCACTGAGAGCAGCCATTTCTCCCTAGGCTGGAGAGATAGAGTCCCCTTAGCATAGCCTGGCACACGGTAAGTGTTCAACAAATATTGGCCATGGTGGATATTCGCATAATCTTCTGGTAGAAAGTCTCTGAGGCTGATCCCTACAGAGAGGGCTGAGCCTGTAGGACCCTGGGTGTCAGGAGGGTGGAGGGCAGCGGAAAGTAGGCATGGTGCCAAGATGCTCAGCTGGAACACCAAGGAGGCAGGGACCTTGGCCTCCACCGTGGCCTCTCATTCCCCTGCCCTGGCCTCCCAGGGTCCTCTGTCCTCTGCCTGAGTCCTACAGGGAGTCCTCCCTCTGTCCCAGGCAGGCCCAGTGACCTTTCGCTCAAGTCTGCAAATATATTCTTGGCGAGTCTTGGAAATGAAATTGTGCTCAACATTTGTATAGGGCTTTTCTGCCGCCCAGCCCTTTACAGACATTAGCTAATTAAATGGAGGAGGAACAGGAGAAGGAGGGCTTGGCCTCTGTAGTTGGGATTCTAGGCCCTCCTGACCTGGGCAGCTCTAGTCTCATTCCTCTCTCCTTTCTCTTTAAGGTTGGACTTACTTTATTTTATTTTATTTTTTTTAAAGATTTTATTTATTTGACAGAGAGAGACACAGCGAGAGAGGGAACACAAGCAGGGGGAGTGGGAGAGGGAGAAGCAGGCTTCCCGCTGAGCAGGGAGCCCAATGTGGGGCTTGATCCCAGGACCCCGGGACCATGACCTGAGCCGAAGGCAGATGCTTAACGACTGAGCCACCCAGGCGCCCCAAGGTTGGACTTACTTTAAAGAGGAAGCGACTCCTGGGGAGTTGGCCACCGAGGCGGAAAGCAAGGAAGGAGGGAGTTTGGCAGTATGCTGAGTAGGTTAGTGTCTTCCTGAGGGCACCGTGTCCCACTGCTGGCCACATCCAGCAACCGGCTGGGTCTGAAAGTACAGTTATAGATGTGCCATGAATGGGCCAGCCGCCTTCTCCCCCTTTGGAGGAGGGCATGAGGACAGGCGCAGTACTTACAGCCTGAGTAGGCTGTCAAAGATCCTTCCCAGGGGGCTAAGGGACACAGGCACACAGACTTTTGGCCTGGTCTAGGGAGAGGACTGACCACTGAGGCCACCTGGGAGTCACAAAACTGGACCCCAGTTCCTAGCCTAGAGAGACGCGCATAAACCTCTGCCCCTACCCACCCACCCCCATGCTCTTCCTGGCCTCGGGGGCTGGAGGGGGGCCATCCCAGGATCAGTGGAATTTTTTACACTGCCTGTTCCCCAGTCTCAGCCCCTGCCTGTGAGAGAGCTGCCCTCCACTGGGCAGGAGGTCAATTCCCACAGGGGGAGGAGAAAAGGAGCAGGAGAGAAAGGGAGGGAGGGGGGAGACAGAGACAGAGAGAGACAGATATCGATGCTGGACTAGGACTGAGGGGAAAAACCAAGAGAGAAACAGACATCAGTTACAGAAACTGACCTAAGGAAGAAAGAGGCCATATTTCAGACTAGGACTGTAGGAGAAAAGAAGGAAGACTGAAGGAGAAGGAAGAAAGAGCTCTACAGGTAACAACAGTGTCAAGATGAAGGATTTCTTGACACATCGAGGGGCAGCCCCACGTAGGAATCCCCCAGGAAGCCTCAGAGAGCTGCCAGAGGCCCCTGGAAGGAGAGCCCCACCACTCCCTCTCTCCCACCCAAGGACAGCATTTGCAGGTGCCCATCTCGGATATGTGGGCTCCTTCAGAGGCAGGCATGCATTCTCCTCCCTGGTCCCATTACTGGACCACGATGAGCCTGAAGACTTGGCCCCTCCTCCCAGGTGAGTCTATCCCGCCCCCACCCCCATCCCCACCCCAGGCCTGCTCCTACCTACCCTGCTCCCATCAGTCCACCAGGTGCTGACTGGGGAGTCAGCAACTCTGGAGGCCCCGCCAAGTCCAGCAGAAGGCCTGACCTCCCCTTACCATCATTATCTGTCTCATAAAAAATAGGCAGTGAACTTCATAAAACCAATTAAGATTTCAGGGCCAGGGTACAGATGCAAGCATAAGTCCAAGCAGCTCTGGTGACAGTGGGACCAAGTCCAAGGGCAGAGCAGCCTGGCAGCTCCCTCCCTTCAGGTCCGGCCACAAAGGCTACAGAGCTGCCGTGGATGTGCAGAAGAGGTTCAGGTTAAACCCGAGGAAGGACTGTCTGGTTGGCTGGAAAGGGCAGTGAACACTGGGATGGTTTCTTCCCTTTTGTGATGTGCAGCCCAACAGAGCCTGGTTTCTCCCTCCGCAGCCCTCTCTGGTTTCAGAAAACCTCAAGAGCTTCCCACCAAGTTACCAAGGCAACTGCAGCCCCGCAGGATTCACAGTGACAATGGAGAGAAGGCAGAGACTGACAACAGCCCCACATCTCAAGGAGAGCAGGGAGACAGAGGCTTCAGACCAGAGCAAACATCCCCTGCATCCCTGCTCAAGGAACTGTTTTCCTGCAGTTTGTGAGCTGACACAGCCCAGTCCCAGGTGGGTGAGAAGAGAGCATTAAAGCTTCCCTCACAGTCAGGCGGGAAGGGGCGGGATCTCTCCCACAGCTTCCCACAACGGCAGATTTTGTGGCTCCTGGCCCCACTTTCAAAGGCCAATGGGATTCTCTTCTATAAGCACCTGCACTCTCCATGACGGCCCCGTTGGGAGACAGTGTAGCTAAGGGATCATGACCTCAAGCTGCTTTGGAATCAGAAGTGAGTTTGGCTCTTGGTTTGGTCACTCTCTGAAACCCTGTGACCTTGGGCAAGTCATTTCTCTCTCAGGTTCGATTTCCTTAGCTGAAAATGGGGATAATATGATGGAATTGTCAGGATTTAAAAATATCATATATATAATATGCTTGCATAGGGCCTGGCACTGGATCAGCATAAAAAAATTAAAGCTGTTAAAATTTTCTCATTAATATTACTATTTTAATTTTTATTACCGATAAGTGCATGCCTCGTTTACTCATCTGTAAAATAGGGATCACAATTCAATGAATCATTTGACGATTACACAAGGCAAAGCATGTGAAATGCTTAGACCAATACTTTTCCCATAGAAAGTGCTCATTGAGGGCGCCTGGGTGGCTCAGTTGGTTAAGCGACTGCCTTCGGCTCAGGTCAAGATCCTGGAGTCCCTGGATCGAGTCCCGCATCGGGCTCCCTGCTCGGC